TATATATATATATATATATATATATATATATATATATATATATACTACCTAAAAAGTTGTCACAAATATAATAGAAAAGCTGTCCAATTAAAAATTGTTCAATTTGAAAATATATAACAAGTTGTCACACATTCAATTAAATATTGTCCGGCTTGAAAAAATTAGCCAGAAGTAATGTCTAATCACTAATGTTTTATATTTTATATCTACTATATATAAATAATCTCATAGAATTAGTGTGATGTAATATTTAATGTTTTGTATTATACATACATATTTTTGTAAATATACACTAATTCATTTGTCCAATTGTTGTATAAATTATCATAGTATAAATAGATCCATCTTAGACTTCCATTTAAGTTGCAGCGGCACCAGTTCCTTCTGATTTTGGAGTTCCATTTAACAGTCATGGTCAATTTTTTTGTATAAAAAATATAGAAATATTAGTGAATATTATATAGCTAATCAAGTATAATCGATATTAAACTAATAGCTAATTGTCTGACTGCCTAAGTAAATTATCATATTATAAAAAGATCCATCTTAGGATTTCATATAAGTTATAGAGCACCAATTAGTTCTAATCTTAGGATTTCATTTAAGATCATGGTCAGTCTTTATGTGTGTTGGCATATTATTAAAGAAATCAGTTCTTATCAACGACCGATTATATGTTGTTGTTTTTACGTGTAAGTAATAAATAAGAGATCTGCATTGGCATATTCTTAAAAAAAAATCTTTTTTTGATCACGAGCAATTGTATGTTGTTACTTGTGTAAGTAATAGGTCAAGAAGAGTCAAGGTCAACATTTATTGTACGTTGGCATGTTAAGTAATAGATCAAGAAGAGTCAAGGTCAACATTTATTGTACGTTGATATGTTCTTAAAGAAATCAATTTTAGTCACGAACAATTATGTTGTTTGTTTCGCGTGTAAATACTAGAAGACTTTCTTCGTTCATGGTTCGATATTCTGGTGTCCTAGGCGTAGAGGAACCACACTAACCCATCCCGAATTTGGTGGGGCAGCTATTTGGCATGTCTATTGGGATCTAGAAATATTTTGTGATGAACGTACGGGGAAGTGTTGCAAATATTAGTTTGTAGAGACGACGAGTTGCTCAGTTATTGAACAAATAATATTTTGTACAAGAAAGTTTAAATAATATATTTTTTTGCATGAGGAACATTTTATGTTTTGATAAATTTTCTATGAATTATCATTCTTTTATTATTAATATATTTTAATTTTTAATATTCTCCAAAATAAATACAATCAGTGCATCGCACGAGATACATATTAGTTCCTACTTCCTAATAAAGAAAGAGAAAAAGTGGATAAAAGAAGAGTAAAGACAAATGGCCTTAAACATTAAATATTGACCGCTCTCAATTTTTGTATCTTCCAAGTTTCGTAGTCTCTTATTTTCTTCTATTTATAGCCTAATTACTCACTAACTCCCTAATAAACCTCAAATTTCATTTCAAATCATAAAAAATAAAAATAAAAAATGAACAAAATCTGCATATTAAGCTGCGTGAACGATGCGTGGGACCCAATCAGCGCCAATTATGCCAACATCTACAGGTGGCCGGAGTCCGCCACCGACCGCGGCGGAGCAACACCGCGGGGGAGGGCGGCGGACGGCATTTCGTGTCGGAAATTGTATATCAGGAGCTGCACGTTCTCGAGGGAGAGGGTGGCTGCCGCCGGCCGTAGAACAGAGGAGATGGAGGCGCTTCTGCGGCGGCGGCGGAGAAGGAGGAGAAAGGGGATGCGGCGGCGCGTGGTGGTTATTAGGAGAGTGAAGAGGTTTTCTTGTGCGGCGCTGCGCGCGTTTTTCCGGCGGCTGCTACTTTGCGCCGCCAGTGTAGATGTTGTAGATCAGTCCATTTAGTGGTGGAAGATATTATTATTATTATTATTATTATTATTATTATTATTATTATTATTATTATTATTATTATTATTATTTCTTTTTTGTCAAGTATTTGTCTTTTTCTTTTTTGTATATTTTTCGCTTTTAGTAATATACATTTTTCATGTTGCAGAAAATAATAATAATAATAATAATAATAATAATAATAATAATAATAATAATAATAATAATAATAATCTATACTTATATTAAAAGCTAAACTATTTACTAAATGTAGTATATAGAATAGTCAACCCTAATTAATGATTTACAATTTTTATCAAGCATTTAATTAAAGAATCTAATATTTTTGGTATGCAAATCAAATTATCATTTAATTAGTTCCTAAAATATTGAGTATGCAATATTAATTTAGGAATATACATTTAGTTCCTAAAATGTTGGTATGCAATAAGTAAAAAAAGATTTTTTTTTTAAAATATAAATATTGCAACACGTAAAACTATTCCAGTTATTTTTTTTTATTTTATTTTACATATAATATCTAATCAATATTTAATGCATCTTACGAAATTGGATTTAGTTTAATTCTTCATACAATTGGTTGTAACTTTTTCAGTTGTAAATTTTTTATTTATTTATTTTACACTTTTAAATTAATGAAGCTCTCCGAAAATACCAAATCAAATGATTTATGAAAGTTTTTTTTTTTTTTTTTTAAATCTATATACTCAACTTAAAAAGCTCATCGCATAGATATGGACGAGTTTAAGAAAATTTCATAACCCAACTTATAAAATTCCATCTCCACGAGTAAAAAAAATCACATCCCGCATTTATTGTAACAACTTTAAACATAAATAAATAAAAGTCTAAGTACTATTATAAATCCATTATCTATATAGATTTTTTAAAATTTAAATTTCACCTGTCTAATTACTAATATTTTAGATACTTTTAAATATTATTTGTATAATTTTTTTTACACGTTTGCTCTCTCTCTATATATATATACATATATGGAGGTTAAATGAATAATTTTTAGACATATTTTCCTTACGGGTAGTTTACAAAAAAATAGGTAGCTTCAAACATTATTTGTGAATAATATAGAATATTTTAGATGCTTTTATAGATGCTATAAAATATTTTAAGTGTTTTTAATATTTATATATCACACTTAAAAAGAATATTTTGTCAAAAGAAAAAACATTAAATACACATTATAAATGTTAATAGAAACAATTTCAGTGTTCATCTTTGATTTTGTCAAAACAAAACTCATAAAATCTGTGAAGTCAAAATTTGTACGTAAAGTCTATCTATACTAAAAAAAGGTAGATTCAAAATTCTTTATCTAATTTCTTTTTTTCCTTATCTAATTCCTTCTTATTATCTAATTGTATAGAAATCTGTTCTGATTTTGTTCAATCCTCTAATTGAATTTGTATCATATCCCACAAAATCGGTTTAACAAAATAAATCTCATAACATCCGATAAGTAAAAAAAAATACGTAAAATCTTTACTAAAATAAAAAGGCTTTATTTATTATCTAATTTATTATCTAATTGTATGGAAATATGTTTTGATTTTATAGTACGTACTATAAATTGTGCACCCGTGTTCAGGAGCTACTTAACGGGCAAGCTTTGTGGAAATAACTCATTTAGTGCTTCTGTCCTGTACATACGGTATGTATTTGTATTACACATACTAGAAAATTGTGCACCCCGTGCATCGCACGGACTCTGTACTAATAAATGACCTTAAAATTGTGCACTCCGTGCATCACCCGTGTTCACATTTTGGCCTATTACAGGTCACGTACTATATATATCCCGTACATTTTTATTTATTCATGTATATAACTATAAGATTTGATAAATAGCCTTAATTTTGTGCACCCCGTGCATCGCACGAGATCTGTAGTAGTAATAATAATAATTGTACCAACAATGTACAATGTTCTCTTTAGTACTATTTGCAAATTATCGAGCCTCATACATGAGAACATTAACTTGTACATATATTGTTGCACTCAAATAAGAATGTTCGTGTCCGTTAAAGCATTTCAAGTTCGACTTTGATTAATTTCGAATAATAATGTTCGTATCCGTTTGTTTAGTATTCGAACAACAAATTGTGTAGTAGCTCATTAATTCGAACAACAAATTGTGTAGTATTCGAATTCGAGTTCATATCAACAATAGAATAATTTAGTATATGAGCTTACTAAAATTGTTTGATATTCGAAAAAATAATCATTATTTTGATTTTCTTATTGAATATATCATAAATGTAAACAAAATTATAAAATTGTTGTTTACGAACATTATTGAAGGGGCTCTTATTGATTCGATTAACAAACGAATTTTGTTTTTCGCTCAAGCTCACCTTAATCAATAGATGAATTCTCTTTGTTTTGAATACGAACAAATTCGTATGGACTTTTATTTGCAGACGTGTTGGTGTCTCTGTTTATTAAAGTTTTATTTATTAAAATACTCAATTCATACTGACAATCGAATTCAAATTTAACCTCAGCATCAACATTTTCCATATTATCAATATCATGAAATAATATCACTCAATTATTCTTATCGTATCAACTTTAGTTCAATATTTATCCACTCACATACATTTAACTAACCATCATTTTACATTATTTCTCTCATAGTTTTACATCAAATCAACTTTATTATTTTATAAATTTATTATAAACTAAAATTTTCAATAACAACTAACCCTATTACATTAATTCTGATTACTAAAAGAAATTCTATTTTAAATAGATATATTTTTGTCCAAGAACACCCTAAGTTCAGGAAAATTTTGTAACTGCCATAGTTTGAGAAAAATATCCCCAAATAATTACAGGACAGACACAATTCCACATATACTGCAAAACTAGACACAATTTTTTTTAACCAACGATAGGAAATGCTCATAGATAAAAAAACTGTTCAAGTACAGACCGATGCTACCAACTGGTAGAAATGAACTGGGAGAACCACTACACAGAGTGGCCTACAAGACAACCAAACCTGAGATACCAAGCCGGCATAACAGCCTGAACCAAGGCACTGCAACCAACCAAACATCTAGCAGAAAAAACAACACATAAGAGACCCAAAAAAGAAAAGACGCCAAAAAACCAGACCAGACAGAACACAAAAAAAAAAAAAACATCTAAACACCAATCTAACTGACCAAACAAAGTCACAGCAAAAACAGAAAAGAAAAGGACATAACAAACAGCACCAACCTCAAGAACAAAGCTAGAGGAGACTTCACTTGGCAGCAACATTACAAAACTCCATCCACTCCAGAACTGCTCTTTTGACTATCACTGTTTCAGGAAGCCTTTCATAATTGAAAACCCAGAGGTTTCGAGATCACCACAACCACCACAAGATGTAAGTTGATAAATGGATTCTAGCTTCAGAAATATCAGAGTTATCTAAGCTACAAACTTGCCACCACCATAATCTGAAGTTAGTGTCAGGAATAGTGAGATCCCAAGACACAGGGCAATACTCCATACCATCTTAGCTTTAGGACACTGCAAAAATAGATGTTCAATAGATTCATCTGCTTCCCCACAGACTTTACAAATAACATCAACATCCAACCCTTTCTTCTTTAAATTCATATTCACAGGAAGAATGCCAGTAAAACACTTCCAGATGAAGTGTTTTATTTTCCCCCAGCACTCTCAGCTTCCAACTCTTGCTTCTGACTAAAGCATCAACCTTACTAGACTTACTACCTTCAGCAATGTCAAGCCTCTGTATTTTTTCAGTTAACAGATAGGAGTAAGAATCAGCAACAGAAAATTCCCCCTTCTTATATACCTTCCATTTCCAAACATCATCTCTGTCTGAAGCAATGGTATCAATTTGCAATATAGCAGCACTATCAGAAACAGAGAAGAGGTTTCTAACCAAGTCCTCATTCCAGTGCCTTTTTGTAACATCCTTGAGCTCAGCAACCCAAACAAGAGAAGATGAGGCAGAGTTCAAGAGCTTAGGAGCCAATCCCTTAAGGAGAGGGACCCATCCACCATCCTGAATTTAGTATTATGTCCAGATCTCACTTCTTTCATACAGTTCATAATAAAGGTAGGAAGCACAGTAAGCCAGTTATTCCACAGCCAAGAAGAGGATGAGTTTTTCACAGCTTCAAAAATAGAAGTGTTGGGGAAATATTTGCTCTTGAGAATTTGACTTACGAGGAGATTTGGCTGAGTGGTAATTCTCCACAGTTGTTTGAGTATAAGGGCCTCATTAAGAGTCTAATATCTTGGAAGCCCAGCCCCCCTTTCTATTTTGTGAATGAAAGAAAGTTCCAGCTTCACCAATGGATTCCTCTGGCCTGAGAGTCTCCCTTACTCCACTAGAAATGGGCAGTGAGTTGAGAGATTTCATTGCAGATCCCAATTGGTAGCTTAAAGGTGGACATGGCAAAGACTGGAGGGAATTGATCACAGCCTTAATTAAGACTTCTTTCCCTGCTTTAGATAAAAATCTATTCCTCCAACTGACTAGTCTCTGTCTGACAGTCTGGACTACATAATCAAAAGCTTATTTTTTGGACTTTCCAATACCAAGAGGGAGCCCAAGATATCTGGTAGATGAATGGACTGAGATACCAGCAAGCACTGCACACACGTCATTTTTCACTGAGGAATCAGTGTTCTTGCTGAAGAAGACGATAGACTTGGACAGATTAACCTTTTAACCAGAGAAAGCTTCATATGTGTTAAGTAGGTCCTTCAGGAGCATAGCTTGACCAATATCTGCCTTACAGAACACAAGTGAATCATCAGCAAAAAGCAGGTGAGTGAGCAAGGGCCCATTTTTAGATAATATGACTCCTCTAAACATCCCACCAGAAGCAGCAGAACTAATAAAAGCAGGAAGGGCTTCTGAAATAATAAGGAAGAGGTAAGGGGCAATGGGATCCCCTTGCCTCAAACCTCTAGAAGGATGAACCAAGCCCACAGCTTCACCTCTC